TACACAGAAACACTGTACTGCATTGTGCATTCTCCTTTGCCTAAAAATGTATCCAGGAGCTCTTTCTATAATAGTATATAGAGCTTCCTCATGCTCTTTTAAAAGCTGCATATATCCCATTGTGTGTATTAGTCCTCTAGAGATGGGTATACGTTGTTTCCAACCTTTTACTATCATAAACAATGCTTCAAAGAATAATAGAATCCATATGTTATTTTGTAAGTGTGCATTTAGGAAAGAGTCCCAGAAGTGGGATTTCTGGTTTAAAAAGTAAATGTATCGGCCCTTCATAGACTCTTAAATCCTTGCCCTCTCACTCATTCCCTGTCACTAGCTTGGTTTTACACCTAGATGACTGAGATAGCTTCCATTCTAGCTATCATTGCTAGATTGACCTTTCCAAAAGCACACTTTGATTTATTCATCCCCTTGCTGGAAAATCTCCAATAATCCTCCTTCCCTACCAAATAAAATAAAAATTTCTTAGTCTGTATTTAAAACCCACCATAGTCTGCCGGACGTACCCTCATTTCCAGGTTCACCTTCCTAGTGCTAACCTTAACTGGACAGGGCTGTGGCTGGTTTCTAAGCACATGTTATGCTTTCCTACCTCCATGCCTTTGCCCAGGCCTTGTTCTTCATCAGAAATGCACACCCCTTCTTCTGCCTACCCAAACCCTATTCATTTTTTAAGGGCCTTCTTAAGTGGCACCTCCCCCTGAATCTATCACTTAGCACCCTCAGCCAGAAATGATTTCACTCAATTTCCCCAAAGTCCTGTATTTAAGTCAATTACATGGCATTTGCCTTATGGCGCCTTCTATCATAGTTATGTCTGTCTGAAGCTCACCTTCCACACGAGGTTGTAAGTTCTTTCAAAGCAAAGACTGTGCCTTCTGTACCTTATATTTCCCGAAGTGCTCGTCACAGTATTTCACATACACAAGTGTCTCACTAAATACTCACTGGAAGACTGTTTATTGAGAAAAATCAGCCTTTTGGCTTGACCCCCCTTCCCCAATCCTGGAAAAGGCTCACAGGGAAATGAGGCAAGCAGGTCTGGTGGCTATAAAACATGCACATGTGTAATGAGGCATGAACACACACAGACGCATACACCCCTCCTACACGGAAGGCTGGCTCATAAATTCTGTCCGTTTTAGAGCAGTTTCAGGATTAATGACAACAAAATTAAGTGGAACTCAGCAAGCACTTCATCCCTCTTGAAGGTTTCCAATTTTTCAAAGGTTTAGTTGTTTAGTCCATGGACCACAGACTTTAAAAAAAGTTAAAGTGAAGAGACTGGGTAAGGACTACAACTGAAATAACAGGTACTGGGCTATTCTCAAGGACAGGTCAAGATCATAATCTATCCCAAAAAACTCTAGGCTAGGCTTCAGAAAGTGCGGTTTCAGGGCTGGGCACTGTTATATTATGTGAGCACTTCATCTGATCAGGAAGTTGTTTTTCCCATCTAGAAAAAACATACACACAAAAAAACCTTCCTTTACAGGAAGACTTTTTTTCCCCTCCAACCTACTACCCAAATGTGGTTCTCCATTCATGTGGCAGGAAGAACTGTGAATTAGGGGAAAAAAGGAGGGTGTTCTCGCCATCTTTTGTGATATGACCTGTTTACCTATCTTGACTTATCCTGGAATCTAACAGAAAAGTAAAACTCCAATTCAGTTGGTGGCTGTTCATAGAAAGGGTTGATTTCAGAGGATGAGGGCCAGCCTTCTTCCACAGACCTACCATTGTAATCTCCGCAAACAAACAAAGGGAGGCAGCATCTGGCCCGCTCCAGGATCAGACAGATATCCCCCTCAAATGCTTCTGGTACCTTCCGCCCCAGTTCAAGCTGCCATCACCTCCAGTCTGAATTTCAGCAAAAGTCTCCTAGACAGTCTTCCTTAATCTAGGCTCTCCCAGAGCCCAAGGAGTGTACTTATCCATACCAAACCAAGTGCCAGTGACTTGCCACCTGCCAAACCCATGGGTCTCTCTTCAGCCCTCACCTCATTTGACCTCTCTCTACCATCTGAAACTGTTGAAACCACACTGTACTTCTTTTTGAAACTCTTGGCTTCCATGACACGGCCCCTCCTGATTCTTCTATTTCCTTTGCTGGCTCTGCTTCCGCTACCCATCCCTAATGCTCTTGTTCTCCAGTCTTCTGTCATCTGCCCTCTTTCCCTCTCTTTCCACATACTTTTTCTGATCAAACCTCACCCACTCCTACGGCCTCAACTTGCTCCTATGTGCTAAGTCCTCCCAAACTGACAGCTTTCCCAAGCTCTAGATCCACTTCTCAGTTGCCTACTGGACATCTCACCATGGATGTTCCATGGGTACCTCACACTGGCCGTGATCCAGCCTGTCTGAAACCGAACTCAGTGGCTTCTTCCCTCTTCCCGCATCAACCTGTGCTTCCTCTTTAGTTCTCTATTTCGGCTAACTGTCCAGGTCATGCCCTATTCAACTTTAGCTCTTCCCTCAGCTTCGTACCCCTTATGTAATTGCCCACTAAATGTCACCAATCCCACATTCTATTTCTTCTGCATTCCAATTGCCATGGCCAGTACCCTCATTGACTCTCATCTGGGCAGGATAATGGCCTAACTGGTCTTCACCTCTATTTTCTCTACCAGTCTAATCCATCCTCCAGAGTTTCTCATTTCACAATATAAGTTTGATTATGTCACCACCTCACTTAATATCTTTTAATAACTCCCCAAACTCCTAGATACCTGGGCCCAAATTAACCTTCCAGTCCCATTACGAGGCATGACCTGTCTATCCTAAGGTGTTTTCTGTTCTACCCTAAGCTCTTAGGTCCGGAGAGAAACTACAATGTTCTGTGTAAGGAGTTTCATAGAGAATGCCCTCCTCTTACCTCCCACTCTTCAGATCAACACATATGGGGGGCCAACTTTGTGCTCTCTACCACTCCCCTCAAAACCTACTTGGTAAACTTGTACTCATCCTTCAAAGACAGGACAAATGTCACCCTCTCTCTGCAGCCTTCCCTGACCTCTTCTCCCAATGGCAGAACCGCTGATCTGCCTCATTTGTGTCCCCCAGAATTTTGTTCCTGCCTTTATCATGGTGCCTATCATAAGACCTCTGTATGTTCCCAGAAGTCAGGGACCACTAGTATTCATTTACGTATTCCCAGTGCCTAGTACAGTGCCACCAGGCTTATAACAGGAACTCTGTAAGTGTTAAAGTAGCACATTGCTAAATTTGACTCTTTTCATTAAGGCACCAAGTTTATGAGGAGATCAGCCTGACTGGAATAGAGAGATTCCAAGTGAGGAATGATATAGCTTCATTAGGGGAAGATTTTGTTTTGCTGAGGGCCTTCCTGATGTCCCTTAAATATCACAGACAGGTGGCTGCCTGCTCTGTCAGTAAGTAAGTAAGGACACCTTCCTCTCTTCAGCCAGGTCAGCTTTCTCTCAGAACACAACAGATGTGGTCTTAAGGCCTGAAAAGGCCTCACTGTGACTCACAGCATCACTGTCCCCAGTGTCAACCATTCACAGTGTTGCCACATCAACAGCCAATGAATCTAAAATTATATTAAAGGGGCCGACCCGGTGGTGCAAACGGTTAAGTGCGCGCACTCTGCTGTGGCGGCCCGGGGTTCGCTGGTTCGGATCCCGGGCGTGCACCGACGCACTGCTTGGCAAGCCATGCTGTGGCGGCGTCCCATATAAAGTGGAGGAAGATGGGATGGATGTTAGCCCAGGGCCAGTCTTCCTCAGCAAAAAAAAAGAGGAGGATTGGCAGATTTTAGCACAGGGCTGATCTCCTCACAAAAAATAAATAAATAAATAAATAAAAATAAAATAATATTAAAAACAAGCTCAAAAGGGCCCAGGGAGCCCTAAGGAGGAACACACGTTCTGAGGTTAATAACTGAGAAGGGAATTCAATTTTAACTTTTCAAAAGTTCTGATTTCTGATATCTAGGCTCGTTATGACCCAGGTTTCTCTTCCCCTGTAGCCCTCATATCTCTTAAGCCTTTAAATCCTTTATCTTGTACTATAAGTTAGGCCCCACCTCAGGACTCAGGTCCCAGGGGTACTTATAAAAGCCCTAGGCCAGCGGCTCAGTTCTATCACGCAGTAACTTTGCTGATCCATAGTGTGTACCAGGGACTGTGTTAGGTCAAATGAGAGCTCGTCCTTGCCATCAGGGAGCTTCTGTTTCAGAAGCAGAAGCATTTAAACAAAGCACATGTGAGTATAGTACAATGAGTTCCATGGTAGAAGTGTGTGCAGTCCATGTAGGGGAATGTGGCTGGATGAGGGGCAGAGAGCCTTGATCTGGCCATGTCTTTGGTTCCAGAAATGTGCTCTTGCCTCACTCAGTCTGTCAACAAACATTTATTGAGCCTCTACTGCAAATTCTTGCCCTCATGGAACTTACACTTGAGTTTTGTTTTAGCAAATGGATTCCTATCTTGTTCTTCTATACAAGAGTATCTTCCAGAAGCACCATTTCTCTAGGATGAGGGCTCTGCCTTTCCCTCAGCCAGAACTTACAGGAACTTGAGTTCTGCCCTTGGAATTCAAGTCGTATTACTGAATCTGCCTCTCCAGTGCCGAGTGTACATACCTGCCTGTCCTCCCCCTATTGACCTGTGACCTGTGAACCTCTGATACTGTCCTTTGCCCACTGTGCCTCAGTGTCCTCATCTGTAAACTATGGATAATAATAGTATCTCCCTCCAAGGGATAGTATGAGGACTAAATGAGACTAGCTTGGCAAATGCTAAGTACTTAATAAATTAACTATCATCATCATCATTATCATCTTTATTTTTAAGATCTCTGCCACACTGCCTGCCTTATCCGTGGACTTTCCCTCCACTTGATGACGTGTGAGTTGGAGACAGGAAGGCCCCTCTCCCAGTCATCCTCACCCCCACTGTGGTTGTGTGTGGGCTCAGTTCAGCCCTCAAAGGCAGGCCCACCCAGAAACTAAGTACCTCTCAGTGTCAGGTAGCCATAAGCCAGGCTAGCCAAAGCCTGTGCACATTTCCAGTGTTCTTCCCCAAAAATAATCTGAGAAAGGACAGCACAGCGAATCAGCTCCTTGTTTGCTTGGGTATTCTGCAGAGAGCAAATAAGTCGTTATGCTTTTTGGAAAGGAGGAAAAGCTCCAGCCCATGCTCTTATCACTGGAAGGCAGGACTGAATTCATCTGTCACCTTTTTCTCTTCTCCTTCCCTCCCATCCCTCATCCAGTCCATCAAGTCCTGTTGGCTCCACTTATTCCTAAGTCCTAACACTCAGCTCTTCTCCTCCTTTCTGCCATGAGTACCTCGTTCAAGCCACACTCAGCTTCTACCTGGCTGACAACCAGCCCCTCCTGGCTGTTCTGCTCCTGCCCCAACGGTCTACTTTCTACATCATAGCCAGAGTGACTTCTTTTAACCTTTTATTGTGAAAAACTTCAACAATAAACGAAAATAGCATGGAGAATGACTCACTTAGCTTCATCAGGTATCTACTCATGGTCCATCTTGTTTCACATCTATGCTCTTCATCCACCCATCCTTTCCCTCTATTATTTTGAAGCAAATCAAAGATATTAAATTCTTTCATATTTCATAAGTATCTCCAAAAGATATGAACTTAGAAATATAATCACAAAATCATCTCACCAAAATATTAATAATTCCTTAATATTAAATATCTAGTCTTATAAATCTAAAAATTACCTCATTAATCTAGTATTTCTTTTACATTTGACTGTCCATACATTGAGATAAGTCTGCTGAGTCTCTTTTCATCTATAGGTTCCACCTCCATCTCTTATTCTTTTTATTGCAAATCATTTGTTGAAGAAACAACATTTGGTTGATGGTGTTTCTCAAAGATGTAAATTTTATTGACTGCATCCTTATGGTGTCATTCAACATGTCCCTCCATTCTCCATTCTGCTGATAGCCTAATTCTATCATTCCTTCCTCATATGTTAGCTGGAATAATTCTATAAAAAGAAATCTCCCCTTATCTACTTTTTGGTTACCAATAGTACAGTTCAGATCAGAAGGACAGGATTTATTTATTTACCAGCTTTCAGAAGAATGAGTTTGTTCACTAGCATCCTGCAATGGTGACCAAATAGCTTGTTTTTTATTTTATTATAAATTTATGGATTTTTAAACATATTTGATGTTCCTAAACATGGCAAACTAATTTCTAACTCAGCACTTTGGCACCTACCATTCCCCCTGCTTGGGACCCTCTTCCACGTCGTTCACTCTCATTTCATTTTCATTTTGTTTACCTCAGAGAGGCCTTTCTTGGCCACTCACCCCATCATTTACTATCCCATTACCTATTTTATTTTTTTCTTCATGGCACTTACCTCTCTCTGATACCACATTAACTATTATTTTTTGTTTCCTTGTCTATTATCTTTCTCCCCAAATAGAAGATTTGGAGTTCCTCAAGGACAAAATTTATTTATTTTATTCCTTTATTCCTCATGCTCACTACTGTATGCCCAGTACACAGAGGACATACTCATTCAATATTTGCTGAATAAATCATCTCTCTATTAGCAAGCATAAGGATGGAGTGGGGAAAGAGCCCCTTATCCCTGTAGAACTGAGAGGCAGAGATCTCTAAGAAATCACAGAATTGCACCTTTAAGTCACAGATTTCAGCAACTTTACGAACACAGTCATCTATTAGCTGCACTATTCAACAAAGTCAGGCATTTATTTCCTGGTGAGGTGAAAACAGCACTTTAAGGACTCAAAAGCCTGGAGATTCCCTGGTTCTAATGTTTACCAGTTATGGTGTATTGGGCAGGATCACTCTGAGTCCCAGCTTCCTTTTCTATTTGGAACCTATACCACCTACCTCATGGAATTATCCTAAGGAAAATGAATCAGCATCAAAGTGATCCAAATTTGTTAAGTGCTACCTAATTATAACTCATTTATAGAGTAACACACAGGTACAGTAGTCAAGGACTGCTCCCCCTGATCCCTGTCTCCTCCCTAACCGGACACTTCACCTGCTCCCAGCTCAAATATACAGACGCAAACACTGTTAGAGAGACATTTCCCCTCATGCTTTAAAAAGATCCATTCAGTCAGAATTTTTGAGAGTTCTCCATGGGCTGACCACAGTAAATACTAAGTTCTATTTTGAGGAAGAAGTGTAATAGCATGAAAAACCACTGGGATGGGAGTCCAAAGCCTTGAGGTCTGTCCTGCTCTGGACGTTCTGTCTTCATCCATCCCCAGACTTCCTGCCCTGGAGAAACCGAGACAACCAATACGGGCTTTAGAGGCCACCCCCGCCCTGCTGCTGCTGCTGCTGCCAATCCTGCGGTTCAGGGCTGCCAACACTGGGCTGGGCTAGATTTAACTCCTAATCTAAATCTCTGTCATTTTCCAAACTGGCCAAGGAGTTGTCAGGCCTTCAAAGCCCACACTTGCACTTTATGGCAGATGGTACTTGTCTGTTTCTAGAAGTGATTGTTCTAGCCTGGATTTGTGAAATACTAATGGATCCAGGCCAGGATGATTGTCCTTGGCAAGTTCTCTGGGTAATGTACATAGGTAAATTTACAGATATATCCATCTAGGGGGTTATCAGCTTCTATCATCTGCCTCTGAGGTGCCTCTGAGCCATCTGCAGACCTTCTATTCACACATGTACTTTAAGATCAATTTTCCCCTTGGCCAGGAATGGCCAGGAAGACAGTGTATGAACTCCTCTGTGGATAAATCATGCTCTGGGAGCAGACCAGTGCCTGCATTCTAATAATGAGAGTCATTGTCATCCTGTCTCAGTTCCTGGATTTTGACTCTTGCTAAACACTTCCTCGGAGCTCCCAGTTCCCAAGTCCTTGCCTCACTCTTAGACATGCACACCTGGGCTCTCTGACCTCTGCTGCCACCTCCCATTTCTGCTGCTTTGGTTTGCTTATGATTCCACCGTAACCACTGGCATCTTACCCATATCCTTGCCAGGCCTGAGCCTGGACCTCTGTCTGGCTACCGTTGTTCTCAGCCTCCCGCCTCACTATCCTGGCCTTCCTGTTACCCCCGAGATATCATCCTGAAACCTTTCAGGAGAAATCAAAAAAATATTTTTTAAGGTAATCAAACAGCAACAGGAAGAACCAAATATTAATTTTTACTTTAAAGCTAGGAGCACACATACTCCAAGGAGGAACACCCAGTGACCCAGGTGTGGAACCCAAAGGCAGGCTGGCTACCCAACTATGCTCTGTGTTGTCTTCCCCACTTATAAAGAAATATAACACCTTCCTCTACTTCCTGTGCTTCAATATGCAGTTCAGACAGAGCTTCTGTAATCATGGACATATTTTTAAATGGAAACTAAAACCTAGTAAGTTTTTTGTTTTACCATTTTTCCCTTAATCAGCTGAGCTATTTTCTTCTGAGATTGGACCAATTTCTCTATGGGAAGAGACATGCAATCTATGGTCTTCTCCTTGGCTTTAGTGTCTTCTTCACTCTCTCCAGACCCACTAGTGGGACACAACTCATCTCTCTGCTGGTGTGCTAGGATCCTGGTTTGCTGTGACCTGTGGATACCAGAGAGGGACACGGAGTCAGATTTGACCTGTGCATATCTCAAAAAAGGTAAAACTGAAGGGCATAGCCCTCCCAACTGGAGACTAGAGATATGCCTTCTAATAAACTTGAAGGAATAAAGCAAGCCTGTAAACTCATGTCACCCTCAAAGCTCAGCATTAGGACAGCAATGTGTTGGTTAAAATGAAACAGATTTGGTAAACCACCCACCTACATTGGAGTCACAGCTCTGCTGCTTACTAACCATATGACCCTAAGCAAGTTATTTGTAATTTGCTTCCCTGTAAAGTGAGGTCAATATGAATACCTATCTGATGACGTTAGTGGATTAAATGAGATAATACGCATAAATCACTTAGCATAGTGCCTGCTCTTTTAACATTAGCTCTGATTATTTTATTAGCTCCATGACTCAGTTTCTTCATCTACAAAATGAGCGTGTTGTATTGGAAGATTTCAAAGGTCCTTCATGCTATAAAATTCTGATCCAAACCAGGAAAGAAAATGGATATAAGGAAATAATGGAAAGGGAACTAACAGTCTGACGCTAGACTTCATCTGTCCTCTTTCATATTTCTTAAAAGCTTCAACCTGTAATGGCTAACTAACTAAAGAGGATGTGGTCCCACCAAGGAGAGGGGCGGGAACCCCACACTGGGTCAAGAGCAGACTCAGAAGAGAAATGGCCTCCTCAGCTGTGTTAGAAGTAAACGTGTTGAGAAAGAACTGAGTAGGCTGAAAATTCCCCCCCCCCGCCCCGGTCCCCTCTCCTGCCTCTCTCTCTCTCACACACACTCACACACACACAATATAGATCTCTGACTTCAACGATGCACATAATTATGAATGGGTAATTGGAATGGTAAAGACAAAAGTCAAAAGAGTTAATCTTATACAACAGAAGAGATAACCATATCCTAACATAACCAGAAAAATCAAAGTGAGCCATAAGAAACTGAATTCTGAGATCTTAAGAGCAACATGAGAAATTTAATTAATTATAAATAAGTCCCCAAAAGGAATTACCTTTGTATTCTCAATAGCTTTTAAATTTCAACCCTTGCATAGTTTTTAAAATAAAATTTAACTTCCTTTTCCACTGATCAGATAAGTAATAAATGTTCACTGTAAAAAAAAAAAAAGAAAATTCAGAAAGGAAAATAAGTAAGTGTAATCTTTTACACCAGGTTTGAAAATGACATGTTAATATCCACACAGAGTCCTGTTCTAAATAACCTAGCCAGAAGCATGTGGGCAAACCAGGTCGTGTGGATAGGAGAGCAACATTTCTTCAAGCCAAGCCCTGGCAGGACTGCCTTCTGCCCACAAACAGAAGTGTGCTTTCAGAAGACACGCAAACTCAATGAAAAAGCCAGGGAAGGCTGGTGATGCGATGTGATCAGAAGATGCCTCTTCCCTGCCTGGTGAATTCTGTACTCCCCCTTCAGGACCCACTCACATGTCACCTCTGCTCAAGCCTCACACTGGATTAGCAGTAGAGACACCCTCCAAAGGGCATGCAAAAATTTCCTCTGAACTTCTACTATAGTGCAAATCACATTACAGTCTCATTTTCAAAACTCATTTGTTTTGTTTCTGAGTCTTCTTTACTTTCCAACAAGTAAACTCCAACAGGGCCAGGGCTGAGTCTTATTTGTTTCTGAAACCCTGATACCTAGCTCACAGGTAAAACAAATGATGGCTTGTTAAATGATGAGCCAATGAATGAAAAAAGAAAGTGCAAAGTCTTTAGGATGCTTGAAAAATATTGCTGGTGGAGGAAATCTGTGGCAAGAGACCATAACTCAAAAAACCTAACAGAAAGAAAATTTAGTCCCTCAATAGAAGATTTTGCATAGGCTGCATATTTCACAGACCTGGAGCAGAAGTCAAATCTATTGGAGTCACCAAAGAGATAGCTAATTATGGATATTAAAAATTATTAAGTCCTAAATGTTTTAAATTCAGCCTTAAACAAAATTAAGCTGAGACCAAGGCAGCAAGCTTCAACAACAGAGACTTCAAAGGAAGGAGAAACATCAAGTCTTGACAAATGATTTGACAATGCAGAGCCCTGAACTAGTGTGAAACAGAAGAAAGATAGAGAATATTGAACAGTCAGATATCTCGCAGGACAGTCAGAATAAAGAGAGTAGGTAGGTTGAATGTAAGGTCTGCCTTGCCAGGTTTACAACTTATTCTATATGTTCCCATCATGACTATGAATTCTGACTAGTAATATTAAATATGAATTATCTGATTATTTCCAAGATACTCTCTGTGAACGCTACATTTTTAACTTCAATTCTTATAGCTATATAACACTTAACCTCAAGACCTTTTCTGAGGTAGTACAGAATTACACTATCCCATACAGTAACCACCAGACACATTAAGAAACACCAGCTATGGGCCGGCTCCATGGCTTAGCGGTTAAGTGCGTGCGCTCTGATGCTGGCGGCCCGGGTTTGGATCCCGGGCGCGCCCCAAGGCACCACTTCTCCGTCCAGCGCGAGGCCGAGTCCCACGTACAGCAACTAGAAGGATGTGAACCTATGACATACAACTATCTGCTGGGGCTTTGGGGGGAAAAAAAAGAAAAAAAAAAAACTTAAAAAAAAAAAAAAAAAAGAAACACCAGCTATTAGGCACATGCAATGTGGCTAGTCTGAATCGAGGTGCGCTGTAAGTGCAAAACACACACTGAATTTCAAAGACTTAGTATGAAAAATGTGTAAAATATTTCATTAATTATTTTATATAACATTTGGATATATTGAGATAAATATAGTATTAAAATTATATTCAATTGTTTCTTTTTATGTTTTAATATAGCTACTAGAAAATTTAAAATTACATATGTGGCTTGCATTATATTTCTATTCAACAGCATTGGTATAGAGCAATGGTTCTCAACGAAGGGTGATTTTGCCCCCAGGGGACATTTGGCAATGTCTAGAGACATTTTTGCTTGTCACAACTGGGGCACTGCTACTGGCATCTAGTGGGTAGAGACCAGGGATGCTGCTAAACATCCTACAATGCACAGGACAGCCCCCACAACAGAGTTATCTAACCCAAAACGTCAGTGGTGCCAAGGCTGAGAAACCCTGTTAGAGAGGAATGGTTAACGCGTGGACTCCAGAGTCAGACTACTCAATTTGAATACCACTTACGAGCCGTGTGACTTTGGACAAACTGCCTAATCTCTCTTTGATTCATACTCCTTATCTATAAAAAAGGGTAATAACAGTACCTCCCTCACAGGGTTGTTGGGGGAATTAAATGAGTTAATAGGTGTACTTACAACAGTGTTTGCCACATAGTATTTGCTCAATAAGTATTAGTTATTATGATGTGTAATTTTCTATTGTCTATTTCATGAAACAATTTTAATTTACTTTGTGATATATAATTCTCTGTGACTTTACCAATCTTGTTATAATTAACCTATCTTCATAAAAAAATTAAAATTTCCCTTAAGTTAGGAAAACACAGCTATTTTCCATCTTGCATAAGTACAAGTGGATATTACAGCAGAATCATTATTAAACACATCACAGAAGCTCACCTTTCTCTTCTAAATAATATGTGTGCAAAGTTCCTCACCCAGGTTTGCCTTACATGGGAGGTCCCAGTGTTTCAGGCTAGTGAGCCAGTGTGACGTCAAGGTACTTACAGATGGAAGCAGAAGTCCCAGTCGGTGTCACTGCTGACAGTTGGGATGCGGATGGGACTGGCCTGCATCTTCTTCCTTCTAAGAATCGCACGTGAGGTCAGCTTTGGAAGAAAGGGCTTACAAGTCTGTTCTGTTTTCCCTCTGTTGGATGCTATTAACATTAAACTGAAACTGCGTGAAGATATAACCCATCCTAAATCTACAAACAGCCTATGCACACTCATGTATGGAGACCCCTGGAAAGGAGAAATTAAAGACATTTGCCAAATTAAATCTGTGAATTAAATTTCTTTCCTTTAGTTTCTACTCCACATTACCTCCAAAATCCCTGACCTATTTTTTTACCCCTTAAGCCAACACATTTACAGCTCCTGAATCATCAAAACTATGGTCTCCTACTCAAGTCAGATACTGTTTTTGCAAGTATGAGCAAGATGGATCCAAGCAAAGCAACCAGCTCTCAGTACTAAATGAAGTATGGCCAGGGTATTAGCTAATTCTCCTGGTCCCTAGCACTCTCTCACTATTTAATAGGTGGTCCTAGTTAAGGAGCTAAAACACACGTGTCTATCTGGATTGCTCTCATTAGCTGATGGGGGAAATGGCTGAAACTCATGGCAAAAACTTTGGCTTATGGGGCCAGCCTGGCCGTGTAGCGGTTAAGTTCCTGCACTCTGCTTCAGGAGCCCTGGGTTTGCGGATTCAGATCCTGGGCACTGACCTATGCAGGGCATATCAAGCCATGCTGTGGCAGAGGAAGATGGGCACAGATGTTAGCTCAGGGCCAGTCTTCCGCAGCAAAAAGAGGAGGATTGGCAACAGATGTTAGCTCAGGGGGAAAAAAAACTGATTTATAACTATTTGTGAACTTCAACCTTCAGGGCTATCCCTGTCGCTTAAATCCAAATTGAATGCACAGTTATTTACTGAACATTAACACCCTCCACGTCGCTCCTCATTTCACCCTGCATCATGGGACTCATTCCCACCTGAGCCCTCAGTAGCTCTCTCTGACTCAGGCTCCAAAACATCCACAATCCACAAACGAGAAGGGAAGATTCACTAATTTCTCTTTCCAATCTCTACCTTCAAAATTATGGCCAGAGAGAGGGTTTCGACTTCTCAAACTCCTCATTTCTGTTCCTATGAGGTTCCACATGGCCCTGAATTATAACACCAAACTTCGGCCCCTCTCTCAAGTGCAAACCGCTGCCTTCTTTTCGGCAGTTGTTCGCCGTAACTTGTAAACCCTGACGCCACACCCCGAGCATCGTCGGAGCTTCCCCAGGCTTCTCTCCTGCGGGCAGTGCCCCGCCGCAGAGGCTCTGGCCGGAAAGCTGGGCGAGGGCGGCTGCGGGCCGGCGTCGCGCGGCGTACCTGGCGGGGGGCAGAGAAGCCACGCCCCGGAGCAGCCTCCCCGGCTCCCTGTGCCCCGCAGCTCGGCTTCCTCGGGCGGCGTCAGCGTCTCGGCCTCGGCGGACGTCGTGCAGCGCGCCGCAAGCGTGTCTTGAGGAAGCGAGGCGCTCTGCAGGGTCTGCCTTTCGCGCCGGCCGCCCGGGCGCAAGCTCGGAAACAATGGGGTTGCCATGGGAACGGGACGCTGGGAGCGTCGGCGCCTGTAGCCATGGCGACGCGGGGGCCGGAATCCCCGGCGGCTCCTGCCAACTGCAGCTCCCACCGCGCCCTTCGCTTCCCGGTCACGACGCACGCGACCTTAGGCCGGTCCCCAAACTTCCCTCTGCTGCGGCGGAATCGTCCACTATTGTTTTTCTTAAAGGGACTTTACCTCTCGGAGATGACGCAGGAAGAGGAGATAAATCGCGTCAAAGGATGGAAATAAGCGCCGGGCCCCACGACCCTATTTATTTCAAGCTGCGACGCACCGGGCTGTATTCGGCGACACCGTGCACCCCCGCAGTTCCCCGGGTGTTCTGGCTCCGGCCAGGGAGGAAAGGCTCAGATATAACCATTGATGGTGCTGGCACTGTTTATTGCCTCTGCGGATGAGAATGTGAGCTATGCTTCGTTAGGTAGGCGGAGTAGAGGAAGGGAGTAGCTTAAGAAATGGACCACTAGTTCTGCTAGTTGTTAGCAGTTCAGAGAATATTCTCGAGGGTGGTGGGCACATTTGGCAAACACCACATACCTAAGTTACGCAGCCGTGTATTCTTATATTACCCCTCTTCAGTGGCCCAAAGTACATACAGTGGTGACGGTAACTCAGATCTGACAGGGGCAGGGACAGTTGTGGCCAATACCCTAAAGAACAGCGCTGGCTCCGGCAGCCTCGCGTTTAAGGGTGTTGTCATGAGCCCTGCAATGAACTGAGGACCTATGAATGGACAAGTCAAGTTGGAGTTGGTTATGTCCCTCTCGTTTTCACAGAAGAGCAGGCTCGGACGAGACAGGAGGAAAATATTTACTAAGAACTTGAAAGGTCGTGTTTACATTTGGTGTTCTTTTCAGTTCTAAGGTTGAAGTTTAATTGCTATTGATCCAAGACTGCCAAGACAGCCTTTCTGGAGTTAGGTTGGAGGAGCTATTTAAATAAGTTGGCTTAAAAATCTCTTGAGTAAAACCTGGTGGGCCTGTTAGCAGAAGGTTTAAATCTCCTCAAGCTCCTGAGCCAAAAGTTTAGAAAGATCCCTCTCCTTTTATTCTCTGTTTCCTAAGGAAACTGTCAGCATGGAACCATCATGAAAGCAATGAACTTGGTTTCAAGATGTCAAGGTTCTGGTTTTGACTTGATGTGGCCTGGGGCAAGTCACAGCCTAGGGGACCCAATTTTCTTGGCTATACAGTGACGGTATTTGTACCCCTTGCTTTCTAAAACCCCTTTCAGTTTCAGGATTCTGTGAGGGTAAACTGCAGATTTTTGTGACTCTATCAACAATATTTAACATGTGTGGTGATAAAAAGGAAGAACCAGTTTCCTGTTCTCTAATTCTTATTTCGCTTACCCTTGTTAAGTTGCTCTTTATCAAACTGAAAACTTGAAGTGTTCTGTCCTTCTAGGAGATGGCTATGAGGTTGTTTCTAAGCGTGTTAAACGTGGCGTCTCTTTCCTCAACACTCGCTTTCGCCGATCGTTGTAAAGGGACGTGCGGGACCAGAACAGGTGCTGAATTCCCGTTCCTAAAGCTGACACACCGTCTCCTCCAGAATTTAATTAGCTCTGGCCAGAAGCACGTTGCTCTGATCTGTAAAGAGTAGAAATCAAATTAAAGGGGCCGGCCCCATGGCTTAGCGGTGAAGTGCGCGCGCTCCGCTGCTGGCAGCCCGGGTTCCGAACCCCCGGTGCGCACGGACGCAGCGCTTCTCCGGCCATGCTGAGGCCGCGTCCCACATACAGCAACTAGAAGGATGTGCAGCTATGACATACAACTGTCTCCTGGGGCTTTGGGGGGGGGGAAATAAATAAGTAAAATCTTAAAAAAAAAAATCAAATTAAAGGAACTGTAAAGACTCTTAGCGTTGCAAACCCCTGTGATATTTTTTCCTTCTCTTGCCCTCTGAACCCTGGCGGCAAACGGAAGCTTAGTTAGAGCAGGTGTGCTTGAGCTTTGTTCACCGACGCTGGGATGTGGTGCGTGTAATCTAGGTGGATGGTGTTGGCACGATGTATTCACTCACATTCCCTCCCTTGATCCTGAGGTCAAAGAGGCAAGCATTGCTGTTGCAGAAATCACACAGAGGAAGCCTGTGGAGAGGGTACTTCTAGACTCTTCCAACCCAGATCAAGTGTGATGATCTCCAAATTATTCCCACTCGAGGAAGTGTGAAACTTAAGAAGAAGGAAATGCGCATAACCTGTCTCTTGGACTGTGTAATTTCTTGAAACAGATTTTCTGGCCTCTCAAGACAGGGTTAGATGCCTTACTTCTGAGCTCCCACAGTATCCTGTCCACAGTTGCATCATGACACTCACCACACTATATTGGCCCTCTCTGTTTACTTGGAAGTTTCTCACGCCATGCATCTGTCCATCCACCCAGACAGAAATACCTATTGAATACTTACTATGTGCCTGATACTGTTGTAAGCATTAGGGAAGCAATATGGACAAATAGACAAAGATTTTGCTCTCCTGGAGCTTCTGCTCTACTGGGTGAAGAAAAACACAGGGCTGCTGGTAAACAATATGACGTCTGTGCAAGTTAGAAAAAGGTGCATGGCTTAGGGAATAGGCAGCCACTTCGTGTTTATTAGGAAAAAGCCTCTTCCTTTAGTTAGACTCAGGCCCCTGCTAAGGGAGAAAACCTTGGGAACAGAGGGTGGGCTGGATTTCAGGACTCACTCCCTCTCTCCCTCAGCTAGCTGAACCACCTTACATGGAAATGATAAATGATATGGAGAAAGATAAAGCCAAGTAAGGGGTCTAGGAAGTGATGTGAGCCTGTGGGGAGGGTGTGCTAGCTTATATAGTGTAGTTAATGAGGGCCTCTGACAAGGTGCAGAGACCTCAAGGAAATAAGGGAGCAAATCATGTGAATGTCCAGAAGAGCAGTCGAAGATGTTAACAGCAAGTGCAAAGGCCCTAAGGCAGGAGCAAGTTTAATGGGTTCAAGGAAGCACAAAAGAGCAATTAAGAATGAGAAGGTGAGACAGAATTGGTCAGGGGAAGAGCAGGACATCAGGTCATGCAGGGCCTTATAGGCAATCTATGCATATAAATATCCATCCACCCCCCCCACCCCCCAGTGAATACTGAATACCTACTAGATGGCAGGCCCTGTTTGATGAGCTATGAGCGCCTTGTGAGCAGGAGCTGTTGTATTCACCATGGAGCCCTTAGTATTCAGCACAGTTCCTGGCATATTATCAATGTTCAATAACATTTAATAGTCATCTTCAGGAATTCTCCATTAGTAGAGATTCTGGCCTCTCAATGGGTCTATCAGTTTCCTACTGCTGCTATAACAAGTCACCACAAACTTAATGGCTTAAAATGACACAAATTTATCTCATAGTTCTGGAGGTCAGAAGTCTGTAATGGGTGTCACTGGGCCACAGACAAGGGACCAGCAAGGCTGGTCCTTTCTAGGGCCCCTCCAGGAGGATTTTGTTTTCTTGCCTTTTCCAGTTTCTAGAGAGCACCTGCATTCCTTGGTTTGTGGCTTCTTCCTTCTTCAGAGCCAGCAGTGTAGCGTCTTTAAATCTCTGACTCTGACTCCTGCTTCCACATTCAAAGACCCTTTGGATTATATTGGGCCCACCCAGACAACCCAGGATAATCTCCTTATTTTAAGGTCAGCTGATTGCAACCTTAATTCTATCTGCAAACTTAATTCCCCTTTGCCATATAACAAAATGTTCACAGATCCTGGGGATTAGAACATGGACCTCTTGGTGGTGGTGGTGGCGGGGGGTCGGGGCGGGGGGCATTATTCTGCCTACCAGAGTGTTTAACCTGACTTAAATGCATAGGTTTAAAAACATCAGGAGGTGACACATAGGGAACCCTTACCACCTATCTCTCCTCCTGTTAAAAGCTTACATTATTTGGCTGTGTGCTGCTCTTTTCTCTCCCTACACATCCTCCATTTATAATCTGGTACCTCCAATCACAGTTCTTGAATATACTGTTTCTTCCCATTTTAGAGCCTGGTTTATAATGAATGTACAGGAATGTCTCTTTTCTTCTCTTCCATTCACCCCCGTCTCTTGAGGATTTTCCTTAGGGGAGCCATTCCATCTGCTGGAACCCACATTTACTGCTCCCTCAACCAGCTCCTACGGCCCACTTGCAGTGACCATCATAGGTGAGCTCTTGCCCTTTGCTTGTTTCACTAATATGCCACACACCCCCATAATGCTCAACAGTGCTCTGCCCTGAGCTGGTGGGCAGAAATTGCTCCTCTGTGAATGCCTTGGTCTGTTGCTTTTTCCAGCTCACCCTTTGCCTTGCAGTCTGCTTTTTAACTTTGCTCAAAAGCGTCACCCCCATCTCTCTGGATAGTGTTTCTGCTGCTGTCAGCACCCAGCATCCCACAGTTATGCCACATTGCAAAAAGCTGTGCTTCAACATGTCCTGGGAGCATTTTCCCCACACAGCAAATCATCTGTTTATCTTAAGATGGGTGGGTTTAATTATTAAAGGCTTTGGAGTCTGTCTGAAAGTTTATGTAAGGAAAACGAAATAATGACTCAACCAATGTGAAGAAAAGGCCATTCTTGCTCACTCACGGATGATGCATACACTAGTGCACTCTTTTTCTCTGCATTCCTGTGTGAAACGATGGAAGCTAGTGTGAAAATAGGCAATTTGAAAATTATTCAGACAATTCTCACACATATGCATAGACATTTATAGATAGGATAGCCATTGCATCATTTTTAGGGCTGTAAAGTACTGGAAGCAGATTAAATGCCCATCAATGAGGAATGAGTTAAATAAAATATAGCACAATCATACTACAAAATATTATGCAGAGATGTGTGTGCTGACAGACAACAATCTCTATGATATTTTAAGTGGAAAAAGTATGGTCCAGAAGAGTGTGTAAAGCATGCCTCTGTATTTAAAGGGGAAAGTAAAATACAGGCTTACCTGTACCTACAGACATAGAATGTCTCAAAGCACCCAAGAAACTTAATAGCTGTTGCCTCTGGGGAGTTGAACTAAGGATTGGGGGTAAGAGATTTATTTTCAGATTATTTCCTTTGTCCTACAGTTATAACCCAATATCTAATCATTGAAGTATGAGTTTCTTTTCATACCTAGACTTTGACATATGAGGCCTTTCTTTCCATCCAAGATGGCTGGTTTGGGTTTATTTGTTTCACATCCAGCTGTGAGTCCCCCCAAAATCATCTTCTGAGTTGTATGGTTGGCCTCTGTTGACGTTCTTCTCTCACAATGCATGCACTTGATAATTTAAAATGGTAACAACCTCATACACCATTTGCATTATTTTCATTGATTTCTTTTGTCCTTTTTTGGAAGGGATGACAATAAGAAGTTGTCATAAGTATGTGTGGTATGTCAACGAGAGCTGAAGTTGAGGCAGCGGAACCATGTTTGAGTGAAGGGAGGTGGCCTTGTTATGTTGCATCGTGATCAATAACGTTAGCTACTTCAATGATTGCACCCATTTCGTTGTCATCTGGTGTTTTAATTATTATTTCAACCTGCGAGAATTCACCCTACAGTTTTCTCAGGAATGAAGTATCCTTGTAATGTGATAAGTGAATGTATTTGATTTCTTTTTTAACCATGTGTATGTATTACTTTTTCAAAAAAGAAAAGGAAAAAAAAATCTAATGGAGGCTTTTAAATAGTTAGACTACAGATCAACCGAGAGGCATTTTGAATGAAAGAACTGCGATGCAACTGCCCCCAAAGTCGCCGATCCTTGAAGCAGTGTTCAAGATGAACCCAGGAGCCAGGAGACAGAAATGGGGTGACACGTGTGAGAGATGCAGACAACTGCTGCCCACTGAGCATAATGCAGGGTATAAAACCATCACGCCAAAATGCTATTGACCTGATCTTCGGAAGCCATACAGATATGCTTATGAATGCACCAAAAATCAACAACAGAGATGCAAAATGAAACAAAACTTTATTTTCTGCAATACCTTCCGTAAATTACAAAGGCAAAATGCTAAACTACCGCATATGACTTTTCAATATTTAACCAGAGTACTTGTAATAAATATGCATCCTGAAACAAGATAAAAGGCTACACTTTGTCAGGCATCCTACAAAATGTCTCAAGTTTTATACTCGGCAGCATTTCTGTGTGGGGCCGGGAGGGGGGTTGTTTTGTGTTTTCTTAAGTGCTATGACAAAAAGTCCTTTCACATTTCTTTGGAGCATTTTCAAAATTGCCTAACCATAAACAACTTAAGAAAAGTAACACCAAGCTTGAAGGCCATTTTTGCTTTGCTGTCGTTGGTCTTCATCCAATACAGATGAACACATCATCCAATACAGCCCAGTGCCCTCTGAGTCCAGACAGCCCTGCGGTACATGGGCCCTGTCAGAGCAGGCCGTCACTTTTAGTAATACACTTTGGAGATTTCTGCATTCAGTTTATGTCCCTCAATAAGACTGATGCTGTAAGGGAAGCTGCAAGCAAGTGAGCAACATTTTTAACCTGAAAGTAAAATGAACAGAGATATTTTCCCCGAAGACCTTTGCTATGCACCATAATGTTTACCATATCAGGAATTTTAGTTTCAAAGCTGAAAAACCAATTGGTACTAACAGTCCTTCCAGAGATAATTTACAGGCACTGGTAGAGCTGGGACATTCAAAATATTCAATGGGTAAAAAAAGTATTTATGATGTTGAGAAATGTGCTACGGTTCTGAGGACACAACGGCACAAAGTCTAGGGGTACTGGTGGCAGCTCATATTGGGTTTGGAATACATAACTACCCTTTGCTATAGCTGAAAACTTTGAGGAAAAAGTTATGTTTTCAAAAAGTCTTAAGCGTGGCTACCTAAAAAATATTTGTTAATATAGTCTAATGTAAATTTCACTTATTTAGGGGTTTAGATTATGAAAACATCTTTAACAGCCAATAAAAATATTGTAGAGAAAAAAAACACTTTTAAAAAATTGAGGTTAAGATCTATGAGGCATTTCTTTTGGCTGTAAACACGCAGTTTACTGTCCCTTGTTGAAACACAAATGTTTGGAATTCCTGAGCTTCATGGATAACAGCGGGAGGCAAGTCTGCATAGAAAATTTGCAATGTGTCAATGATTTAAATAAAAGAACTTTTAAGGACAATTTGCTTTTGTTTTTAAACTTCATATGTTAGTTAATAGCATTCATCAGATTGTGAGATTGACAAGCAGGATGATGAGATATATAAGGCAGATGGAGAAAAAAGATGGAATTAGAGTTTTTAAATCCACAGGATATCATGATAAAGGGTCTTAAGCATGCACCACATAGCTAGTGTCATACTAATTTGGTCAGAAATTAAATCATGTTTTGGGATTGGAAACCAAAGGCAAAAAGAGCCCTCCTGTGCTGAATGGCACAGCCTGAGTGCAGGAACTGAGGTGTCAACATATCAGTGATGACGAAGCCACTCAGCTGGTCAGGTACTGAGGAGGGTGCCCACCCGCCAGCATCAGGACCAGACTCCTGGGCATGGCTGATCCCAGCTCTGGAATCCGAAAGGATGACAGGGCCTTTCAGCTCTGCTGCTTCGAAGTCTCTAAGCAGTTCCGAGGACAGTCTTCTCCTGGGACCAGTCCTCAGAAAGAAGCCTTTGGAAAGGGAAGAAGCTATGCTAGGTCATGGTGCATACCATGAATGAGAACAATGGCAGTGGCTGCCAACATCTCTGGATCTAACACAAAGATGGACAGCAAGGGGGCAGTGTCCTGCCAAGGAATCCACTTTACTTCTTCTGGGACTGGTTTTTACACATAGTAAGGATTTGCTTCAGTACTTTCTGGACGTCTTCATCCATCTGACCCTAGGAAATTCAAACAAAAGACACTCATTAGAACCATGTCTTCCCTAGGAAATGAGATGGCTGGCTGGGATGAAGCCCTTGGCTTGACCCCCCAATCTTCCAAAGGAATGTTAGCCCTATCAATTCCCACTTTTCTATGAGGAACTGAGTCAAAGAGAGGGCCCTGCTCTTTTCCTCTGGAGGATGATGAGGTTGGGTCTACCAAAGCCCCCAGCAAAGGGTTTCTGGGGTCTCAGTGGCAAATGCGAGCCCAGCTAGCCAAACTACCAGTAGTCACAGGAGTTTGTCTGATGGCTCCGAGAATATCAGCATGCCTGGAAAATACAGCCCAGGCTCCTCCTGATACGGGGCAACAGCCACATCCTTCATTTCTCAACAAATGACGAGGCTGCTCGCTGTAAACAGGGCACGGGACTCCTGACACAAAATCCAAAGCAAAGCAAAAGGCATTTTAAAGCTTTCCAATGTAAAGGATTCTCCTCGAATTCTCATTTGTTCTCCTAGTTTATGACGGGAGTTTGGGCAACATCTGCGGTGGTATTTCTTTAGGATACCCAGTACTTTGCGGGGTGTTACCATACCTGCACAGCATACAGAAGATGCATTCTGTAAACTGATATGACCTCCTGGTGTTGTTTTTTGCATTCCTAGGAAGAGACAATTTGACATTGTTAAAGAGCTTAGGAGACCTTTAAAACACAAAATCAAATACTATGAGACAGCTGTGGTCAAATGCTACCCAAGTGATTCCCTCCACCAAATGCTAGCATATGAGGCTTTTAATGTTGTGAGCTCACTGGGCTGTATATTTCTGAATACCTGTCAGTATTCTTAGGGAAAAAAACCTGCCTATTTCCTATCTCGATATGTCAAATCTAGAAGAAAATTCATGTAACAAGTAGTTATTATAATCCCTAATTTGTTGCAAAAATATATATGTAGACATTCTTATGCAAATACACAGATACATTCACACAAAGTAAATAGTGCAGGAAATATATCAAATACAAAAAGTGATTGTCTCTGAGTAGTTGAATTATGGGCAATTTTTACTTACAGGAACTTTTTCAGAGTTTTCTGTATTTTCCAACTTTTTTACAACGACCAAATATTTATTAATTTAATTAAAAATCTATTCTTTTAAAGGGAGTTATTGACCACCCACTGTATAGCCAGTGTGGTATAATCCCCGGGGAGTTCAATTATTCAGCTGTCAGTGTACCAAGCAGCAAACGGGGGTGGCACCAATTTCAAATGGTTCCTCAGTAGAGCTGTTGATGCTTCTATTTCTCCTTGTTGAACTATTATTCCAGTTCTTCTTGGTGACCATTTCAAGGATCTTAACTCTGCTCTGAACTCTTCTAAGAGGAGGCCTTTCCTCCTACTTCATCTTGAAAATTGAGACTATCATATATGGATCACTTCAGAAGTCTACAAAAACCCATCAATACCCATTCCCACCTCCTTCCTATCAGTGTCACAATATGAGGTGTCCTTCCTATTCAAGGACAACCTTTGAAACCTCAGTCCTTTGAAGTTCACACCATGAGGAGATGTGCTTGGTACCTCTCTCTGTGTTGTTTCCTCCCACCTTTTGATTACTTCCACTCAATCATGTATAACTTTATCTTCTGATTACTGTCTTCCTTTCCATCCCTGCTTCTGTCATCATTTGGTTGACTTCAGTATCCATGTGGATGAGCCACCTGACACCGTGGCCATTCAGCTCCTCACCCTCAGCTTCCAGGACTTGCTCCTCCTCCTTGTAGCCACTCACCCTCACGGTCATAGCCCTGCCTCTGTCATTACCTCTGACATCTCAACTGAAAGCATCCCACCCTCTGACCACTATCTCCTTTCTTTCCAGGAAACCTACTTTAGGTTTCCCCTGCCTCAGCTGTGATTCTTCAGCCCCATCAGATACCGAGCTACTTATTCATTTCTCTAGCAGTCAGCCTACGGCAGTCCAGGTTCTACCCTGCCACTCCACTGGGACTGTTCTCACCAACGCTACCAAGGGCCATCTAAATGCCACATCTCAGTCTGTGTTGCTTCCTACTCATCCCTTCGAGACTGAGCACAAGCATCACCTCCTGCAGGAAGCCTTTTGAGAGTCACCCAGATTGGGTAAGCACATTTCCTCTGTACGCCCACAGCACGTTGGGCATCTATCAATGGACGGTTACTACATGGAGTATCTGGAAAGCCATTATATTGAGCATAAAATCCATGAGGGCAGGGACTGTGTCTTATTCATCTTTTTTTTGTGTGTGTGTGTCTTATTCATCTTTATACCATCAACACCTTGTATAGTACTGATACATAAGAGCTTATTAAATGCATGTTGAATAATTGTCAGAATGACTGTATATAAACCATTGGCACTTTATTTCTAAATCTGTAATAACCATTTTTTCAGGAAAACGATCTGCAGAATACAGTAAGTAGCATCTTCTCCTCTTGATTATTCCATCCCTGCTGGAGCTGGTAACACAGAGGAGCTGGTATTGTATTTTGTGGCCAACCAGGGTAAGAACTGCAGAAACCTGAATTCGCCAGTATCAAGTCTGTACTGATGAAATCATAAAATCCAGGTTCTGTTTGTAAATGGAAGCTAGAGACAGTCCAGGACAGGCTAACCCTTGACTTCACGTGGAAAATGTAACATACCCTTGTCAACTAAAACCTTAACAGATATTGTGGTAGGCTACACAATGGCCCTCCAAAGATGTCCACATCCTATCCCCAGAACCTGTGAATATTACTTATATGGCAACAGGGACCTTGCAGATGTGATTAAGTTAAGGATTTTGAGATGGAGAGAAGGATTATCTTGATTATCTGGGTGGGCCTTAAATGCAATCACAGGGGTCCTCATAAGAGGGAGGCAAGAAGGTCATAGGTGGGAGGAGAAGAAAGAAGCACAGAACCAGAGGTTGGAGTGATGTGCATTGAAGATGGAGGTAGGGACCAGGTGCCAAGGAATTCAGGTGGCCTCTAAAAGCTAGCAAAGGCAAGGGAATGGATTCTCCCCTAGTGCCTCGATAAGGAACTAGTCCTGCTGACACCTTGACTTTAGTCTACTGAAACTGATTTTAGACTTATGATCTCCAGAACTGTGGATAATAAATTTGTGTTGTTTTAAACCAAGTTTGTGTTGATCTGTTACAGTAGCCATAGGAAACTAATACAGATATGAAAGGACTTTTCTGGGTCAAATAAGGAGAAGGCAGCTTCAGATATATAGATTCACAACTACCAGAGATCTTGGCCCCTAATAAGGAAAAGCTCTCGCCACTGCCAGAGATAGTAACGACCACTGGAAAAAAATTGAGAAGGGGTGCAAAGTCAGTGGATGAGTGAAGAAGAAGCCTACTCCCCTGTCCTGCCAATTCCTCCTTTCTCAGAGAGACATCTGACCAACCTCATTGCAGATAATGACCAGAAATTCCACCAGTTCCTTCTTTTGCTCTCACCAAAGAAGTATTTAGTCAATCACTCACTGAAGTACAACACTCCTTTTGGCTGGGAATCTTTTTGTTCGCTACAACCAGCCTAACAGCTGAGTTGGTATGTGATCTGCCTCCCCCTCCACCCCAAACCAGGCCATGGAAATAAACAAGCCCACTCACGGCCAGCTGGTTCTGGAGCTGTTTGACCTGCTGCTGCAGAGCTTCCAGCTGCTGACTCTGCCTCTTGGATGAGCTCGCTGAGTAGGAGAGCTGCGAGAGGCTGTTCAGGGCCTCCTTCAACTTGATGACTTCCTTCGACATCTCATTTATCTAATGAGAAAGGAAAACTGTATCAATAGGCAAAAATATGCCTGTAGAAGCAAAATTTCAGATATTTCTAAGCCTTGAACACAGCTTCTATTAGCCTCTGGGCTTGAGACTTTGGAATGATTCCTTTTTTACTTTTTAACGAAAATCCATAAAATGAAACAGATAAAATCAGGCAAATCAACAAAGCCCTCTAAGGCCACTACATTCAACTAAGGGCCCTAGATTAAAATATTATGTTTTCATGCACGAAGGTAACAGAAGATATGACTTTGATTTCTGTCTTTCACCTTTAAGAGGGGTACTGTTGAAAGAATAAATCAGAAACAGGATTTCAGACATCTTTATTTGGAGACAGCTATGTCTTGTTCAACTTCGCAAACATGGGCAATCAGGAATAAGTTCTAGAAACCCTGGTATCTCTGGACATCTTGCTTTAAAGTGAACATAACCCCCGCTCCACCTCCCAACTCCCTGCCCCCATGGCTTTGGAAGCTCTTTCTGAAATTCCCATTACAACAGAATAAAAGAGAAATAATGTTCTAATGAATGCCATTCAGAACCTCTGTCCCAGGGGACTAGTGGTGCAGAGCAGATTCAGGCATGGAACCATCCTCCACTTCTCCCTCTGCTTTCCTCCTTTCCTCCTTCCTCTAAACCAATCCCAGCACCATCTCTAATTGCCTGCTCCCCACATTCCTCCCTTCCTCTCCTATACCCCTTTGAAAATGACGGCCAGGGAGGGCAGTTTTTATACTGACTCCAGGGAAAGTTCATGGAGCTTAGGGAAGCAGGATCCAGTCTGGGACTGTTTGGGTTTCCGTCTGATGCTGGAATCTGTCTGGATTCCAAAAGAGTTGAAGTTCAAGATGGGTCACAAATGCTTTTCAGTTTGTGGGTTCACTTCTGATCCCTGACACTTGGCAGAGCTTCTGTAAAATAATTTTTAAAGGGAAAATATGCACCACATGTGTGAAAATGCTTTAGTATGAGGCAAGTGGTAGAAGATCAGTATTTTTAAAAAATAAATGTCCAACCTACTATTCTTAATGTGGCTTTGGGGACAGAGTCATGTGCGGAGCCTCTGAGCATTCACAACAGGTTAGTGCTGACAAATGCTAAAAATGTGAACTATAGTAAAAGGCTGAAGGTTCTAGGGCTTACTAGCAACAAACCCAACAGCAACAGAATTTCACCAACCTTCTTATCTTTATCCTCCTCCAGTTTTGAAGAGCTCTCAGAATATCTCTTCATTTCTGCAAGCTCTTCCTGCGCATGCTGGAATTTTTGGAGAAGTTCATTCACCTCTTGCTCTTTGGATTTCAAGAGAGTCTGAATATTTTCCTTCTCCCTTTTCATTTGTGAGACCTCACTTCTAACCTGGGTAACCTCTGAATGGGCCTTCTCTCTCTCCTTTACTGAATCCTTTAATTTGGATGCCAACACACTCACTTCACTTTCTAAAGATGACTGGAGTTTTTCGTAGGCAGACCTGGGCACCATGGCATCCGTCATCGCAGCCTTCTCTTCTAGGAGTTGTTTCTCCAGTTTTGCCACCTCCATTTCCTTGCTGGCAAGGTGCTCTTTAAGACTGCTTATTTTTTCCTCCATCTCTTTTGCAGAAGTCCGCAGCGCGGTTATCACTTGCAAATGTTCTGTGATGGAGACCGAGTTCTCTTTCTGCGCATCGACCAGTTGTTTGAGCTGGGTCAACTCATTTAACACTTTTGAATACTGAGACTTCATCTCAGACAGTGCCTCTTCTGCCTTAGCCCTGGATACATTCGTCGCTTGCATCAGTTTCTCATGCTCTGCTCTATGGATATATTCAGAGGTCACGTCTTCTAGAGATTTCCTCTTCCTGTAATCCTCCAGCTCAGCCTGGGCTTCTTTGTACAGCTGGGACAGCTCACTCACCTGTTTGTTGAGTTCATCTATCATCCTGTTCATGGCCTCCTTCATGTCCTCAGCTTCGTCACTGGTTTCCTGTGTCATCTGACTTTTTAGGGTGTCTTTTAATTTCATGATTTCTTCTTGGGCCTCTTGGTATTTCTCAAACAAGAATGCTTTCTCCTTATTCATATTCTCAATAACAGAGCAATATGAATTTTTCATTTCCTCAAACTCTTCCACAGACGGCTTAATCACCATACCTTTCTCCCTCTCTACAAGTTTTTCCTCTAACTCTCTCACTTTCTCTTTATTTCTTTCACTTTCTTCTAATGCGTTCTGGAGATCCTGCTTTAGCACATCTATTTCCTCCTCGGTGATCCTGAGCTCCCGGAGATGTGAATAACTATCCTCACTCTCAGGTGAGACGAGCCCCAGTTTCATCTGCTTCTGCACACTAAGGACTTCTTTCATAGCCTCCTCGTACTTGCTCTGAGTTTCTTTAAGTTTCTGGCTGAGGTCGGAGCCATTCTCTGAAATCTCTGCATTATTTAAGCACATCAGTTCTGTCCTGGACTGGAGCTGGGCCTGTAGCTGTTTCCTCTCCACTTCAGAGCTCTCCAATCTCTTCTGCAAGTCTTGCAAAATCTCTTGTAGTTGCTGAATTCTGACATCACTGTCAACAGTGGATTTACTCGAGGAATGTAAGACAGATGGAGATGATTTGGAGTCTGGGGGACAGGTTTCACTAGCTTTGCCCAGCACTGGGGCCAAGTCAGTTTGAGTGGAATGGTATGAGTCAAAGCTGAGGTCTGCTTCCGCCTCCTTGGGAGTCTTGGCCTGGGAAAAAGGCAAGCGTGAAATGGCAACAAAGGTGTGGTTAGGTGAGCAAGAACGAGAGAACAAATCCAGAACTTACACATGGGAGAGCAGCATGATCATTCTGCACATGTACTCCCGACCCACGAAAAAATACGGTCTGGGACATGAGAGTCGGATTAACGACACTAAACTTATTCTGTGCTCTGTTAGGACAGATTATTGGTGCCACTTTAAAAACACTAGAATTATTTTGGTTGTAAAGACTCTGACAAATTTTTCCTCTGTTTCTCGTATTATTCTAGTTGCCAAGAGGGGTAATGGGCTTGGTACAGCTATTTCTTATCAAGTTCTTAAATCTGCTAAATGATCAACTTGACTAAATGAATGACTAATCATATACATGTCATATTATATATAATCATACCTTGTATATAATTATATATAATTTACCAATTTACAGAAATAGAGTTAATGAGTAACTCTCTCAAGAAGCAAATAACTTAAAACTATGAGATGAGTAAGGCTAATACTGCTATTAAACAAGAAGAAGAAATTAATGTAGATGTTTAAAACAAAATATCATCTGACTAACCCTGAAAAACCGAATAGGTTGACCGTACAGAATAGTCTGTGGTAGCAATCTATTTACCTACCTGTAATTTATCTTGTAATTCCTTATTGTGTAAGGTAAGAGAGGCAACTTTTGCTTGCAATAGGACAAGAAGATCTTGTTGGTCAGCTTCAGAACTTATATCCAATAAGCTATCAGCACCTTGGAAAAGAGAAAAGCAATCTAAAATAATATTTAAAAAATTAAACTCTCATTTCTCTGACCTCGAACAGACTCACTTTCTACCCAATCTAGTCCTTCTTCTTCATCCTGTCTATGAACTTCCCGCTGCCCACCAGCTGGATGGATGAAATAGATGAACAGGAATTCTCAGGTACTGGGGTTTCCTTACTAGGGTATTCCCAGCATGATATTAGATAACTGGATGCACACATGCTGATCTGAAAACTGATGGATTTGGTCATACATTTTCCATTCGCTTAACTAAGTGTCATTACCTTGGTTGGTTTTTGTTCCTCCCATGCCTAATAAGTCCCATTTACGTGAATCCTTTTACAAATATCTCTGGAATCTGGTTCACTCCTTTCCCCACCACCATCACTCTGGTTCCAACTTTATCACCATACTTGGGAACTCTGTCAACAGCTCCCTAATAACTCTCTCTCGCCTCTCTCGAGTAAAAATGTAGCCTGCACAACACTGTCAGACTAATCTTCCTAAAAGTTGCTGTGATAGGGTCATTTCTTTGGTTCAAGTGGTTTAATTGCTCTTCCTCCAAAAATAATCTCCAAATTCCTTTATCTGGATTAAGGCCTCTGTGATTTGGCCCCAATCTACTTTTTCAGGTTTATGACTTATGATTTCTTTCTCCAGATTTCCATTTTCCTCAGATTCAAGGTTTCCATCATACCCTCAATATTCTCAACACAAGACTGATTCTTTAATTCTTATCCGTACGATTGCCCTTGCAACATATCTCTGGCTAGATAACTCTTAGGCATCTTTCAAGACTCATGTCAAGCTTTGCCTCCTCCTTAAAGCATTTGCCAACCACCCCAGCATGAAACGGGCTTCTCTTTTGTGAATCCCACAGTAAGCACTGTTGGTAAACCAACGCTTTTTGACATCCTACTGATTATCGTGCTGAAATAACACCTGAAGCAAGGCTACTCAAAGTGCTCACTGAGACAAGACAAGGAACTTGCTCCAGAATGTAATTCAATATACTCCTTCCTTCATCCAGAAAGTCCTCCTATGAAAAAAACAATGTCAGCTGGACAAAACAGCGTGCTTAGTGATCTAGCTGGATGACTTTCTGGTACAAATTCCTTATTTATTGTAGACTGGCAACAGTTTACGGACCATACTCTGAATAGCACAGATCTAAATTTTTTACTGTTAGGTTTTTTATCTTCTCACAGTTATTTAACGCAAAGATGAAAACTTTAATCTTAATTTGGAAGGATGCAAGATGATGTTTCTTCATAGAAACGCTTACTTCTGATGTCTGGTGCCTAAGCCACAGCTTTATGAGACACCTTGACACAAAGTCTGGTGAGTTTGGAATGAACCAGGGGTTGGGGAGCATGACTGTAATTCTAAGCCATAGAAATTCCTAAGATACAATGGATGGTTTTTAAAGTATCCAATGTAACAATCGTTCAGTTATGTTTACATTGATCTCTGCCAGGAATTAGAAAGTTTAATATTTCTAAACCCTGCAAGTTACAGGCTCCAAATGACCCTTTATGAAATGCATAATAGACTAAGAAACTGAACGCTGGGAGCAAAAGGGGGCCTTTGAAATAATCTAGTCTACATTTTAAATGAATTCTGAAGGTACTGTACTACATTCTTAGAGGATCAACCCACAGGATGATTCATAATCCAATGAACTAAACCCTGTCTGGGTGAAGACGATATGATGTGTATGATTTCATTAACACTCTATCTTTGCATGTGTGTATTTAGATTGTGGCAGCCCTGGAGGTGCTCATTTGACTCTCCTGTCAGGAAATACCCTGCTGCTCAGCTGCAAGGACGGCTGCTGGCTGACAGCCTGCAGCCTATGGACCTCCTCGAAATCATGTTTTAAAATGCATACAATAGAATACACAGGCTACAGTAATTTAAGAGCTCATTTTGTAATACACCAAACAAGATCAGACAGCAGGTCTAACAACTGCTATAATTTTTAGTAGAAATACTATAAATGATATTTCAAGATATCTACAATAACATTAATGTGATCTGATTTTATCTGTGAATTCTCTTGGTGTCAAAGTCACTGGTCTGCTAATACCACTGGGGGTTATTGCCTGTATTCACAACTGAAGGAGGTGCTCACATTTAGTTAGGGACAAACGAACACAGAGCTATATTATTTCACATCCAAGCTCAGAGACTCCTTAAAATCCAGGTGAAGGACCCCTGAAGTAGAGAGTGTCAGCCTGTGCAGTACTGGCAGCCCTGGGGCGGCATGCCAGGGTTCTTCGACCTTCCTACACAGAGTAGGCCTGCTTGGCTTTTGCTCTCTTTAAATGGACATGGAATACTGGTCAAAGGAACAAAAACAGATGCTCCTGGAGCCAGCCCTGATGGCCCAGCGGTTAAAGATCTGCACAGTCTGCTCTGGCAGCCCAGGTCCGGTTCCCGGTCATGGAACCACACCACTCGTCTGTCAGTAGCCATGCTACGGCGGTGGCTTACACAGACGAACCAGAAGAACTTACGACTATATACAACTATGTACTGGGGCTTTGGGGGAAAAAAGGAAGAAAAAGGAGGAAGATTGACAACAGATGTTAGCTTAGGATGAATCTTCCTCTTCAAAAAAAAAAAAAAAGAAAGAACAGATGCTCCTTCATCTTACCTGTAGTACTGTCACTTAGCCTGTCTTTGTTTTCCTGTATAGAACTGATCTCAGCCTGCTGGGACACAAAAATGACTTAAAAGAATATTCTTAAATGTAACATTCCACAAAAGAATCAAACAAATTTCCCTCCTTGAGTTTATACAGAACAGAGTCAGTGTTATCCTACTAGAAAATCTGAAGAAAAGAAGATGATATTTTAAAATATAAGCAAATTAAAGTGACAATTATTTACTAAAGTATAATTTCTAAAACATTAGAGGGTCCAGAGGGTATATTCTCAAAATATTTTTTGGACATTTCATTTAGTAAGTACAATACAAATATCATTTAAGATTATAATTGCTAATTTAGTGGGCTATGTCCTAAAACTTGAGATGGCAACTACTACTTTCATAATGAAGTCAAATAGAAATTTAATCTCTCTCGGTAATATACTGATTAAAATACATTAAAAGTACTTTTGAGCTTTATCATTTAATAAATTATGCTATTAATATTTCTAAGAGAAATGGTAGTAAATAAAACCTGTCAGGGAAGATAAAAGCAATTTTATAAGGGAATAAAAATTCTTATAATCTTGGATTGACAATTGATCCTCTAAAGATTTTCTCTAAACATTTGTCCCTGAACACCTGTCTGTTAATATATTGCAAAAGTCTTGTAACTTCAAAGCCAGACTCTTATTTCAAAACAAAATACAGTGACTTGCCAGAAATTACTAAGTTTCATCTAGATGAGCCACACACCATGATAAGAGAATTTTTCAGCAAAGGAACTTTTGTAAAGGCCCAAATGCTAAAAATAAAGTGGCTTATTTCTGGCAAGTGCTTATCTTTATGAAAAGCTTTCTTTTCACTTTGAAAAATATATATTTATTTTTATTTTTTCAACTATACTAAGGTATAATGCATCCATTTAGAGTTTATAGTTTGAGGAGTTTTGACAGATATGCACCCATGGAACCACCCAGATATACAACCATAATCAAGATAGAGAATATTTCTATTACCTATAACAGTTTCCCCATGCATCATCACAGCCACTCCCTGACCACCCCATTCCTAGGCAACCAATGCTCTCTTTTTTTGCATTTTCTAGAACTTCTGTAAATAGAATGTCATAGGGTATGAATTGTGTCTGGCTTCTTTCACTCAGCATGATGATTTTCAGATCCATCTATGACACTGCTTATACAGCACTTCCTTCTTTTTTAATGGCTGAGTAATATTCCATTATATGGATAGATCTCATTATCTTTATCTATTCACTGGTTGATAGACATTCGGCTTGTTTCCAGTTTGGGGATATTGTGAATAAAGCTGCTATAAACATTTCTGTATAAGATTTTTTGGGACATATATTTTAATTTCTCTTGGGTAAACACCTATGAGTGGATATCTAGATCATATGTTAGGGGGATATTTAACTTTTAAAGAAACTGTCAAACGGTTTTTCAAAGTAGTTGTACCATTTTATATTCCTAGCAACAGAATATGAGAGTTCTAGTTCTTTCACATCCTCACCAAAATTGGTATTTTCAATATTTTGAAACTTGAACCATTTTAAATGGTGTCACTTTTTATATTTTGGTGTTTTTTTTTTTTTTTAAAGAAATGCAAGTCTTTTTATAATCTATTTCTGAAAATCATAATTTCTGATAATATTCTTTGGAATGCATTGCCTCCTTTAAGCCATAATCATATTTGAAGATATTAGGGTACTAACTGTAAGAGCATAACTTCCTTGCCTTGCCTTGTGTAGGTATTCATCTTAAGAGTTCATTAATAAAGTCTAGTTAAAGTGATGGAAATGATAGGTTGATAGAATCTTTTTCAGATCAATGTGCATCCAAGTTAAAAGGAAATTTATCTTTAGTAATTCTTAGATGGAGGAAATAAATATACAATTATACCATTGGAATTTCATTTTAATAATTGTAAATTCTACTTTCTTCTCAAGTATAATTTCTTAGTGATTGTTAGGTAATCAGATATTGAATTGAAATATCCCTCCATTCCTTAAAATACTTTCCAACTGCAAATCTACAGAATCAGGTGGAATAAGACCTAATGGATTTTCTAAAATTTCTAAAACAAATACATATTACTTTTATGGGTCATGAAAAAGTTTAATTAAAAATATACAATTACTTCTCAGTAAAATATCAGAGAACAACAAAAATTTCTTTCATTTTGATTGGCATTATATCAACTTAATTTGGTAAGCAGACTGGTAATCAAATAAGTTCTTATCTTTGTCCCTTTTTTTAAATAAAGGAAATTAATTATTAGTTAATGAATGTAATTCATTCATCCTACTCTTTTTGTATGGAGTACATGCCAGGAAAAATAATCAAGGGTTGCTTCCTGATGAGAAGGTTGTGAACCAATCACTGAGACGTATATTCTGTTTTGCCCGTGCTGTAGCACTTAAATCAATTCTATTATGTATCATAAAATTCAATAGCAAAATTGAACTTGGATTGAAAAAGGAAATACCTTGAATGGTGCTTCTGCAAAAAATACTGATTCCTTTCCCGAAAGTGGTGTTGAAGTTATTGATCTTGGGGAAGACATATCACTCAACTAAAAAAACAAGATGAACACCACTGATGAAGAATGCTTCCTCAAAGTCTTTTCTTCTCCAGAGCCAAAGAATTAACCTATGTAACCAGTGCAAATAAATCTAATAGCAATTATCCTTAGTTTCATTTAATTCAAGGGTAACATATTTTCAATGTAATTCAGCTACCTTAAATACTTTCTGAAAGTTTGCAGAGTATAACTAAGTAACTTTGCTCCTCTCTTTACCAGAATTAATTTTAAAAATCTACAAAACTTCTTTTTTTTTTGTGAGGAAGATCAGCCCTGAGCTAACATCCATGCTAATCCTCCTCTTTTTTTTTTTTTTTTTTTGCTGAGGAAGACTGGCCCTGAGCTAACATTGGTACCAGTCTTCCTCCACTTTATGTGGGACACCGCCACAGCATGGCCTGACAAGCGGTGTGTTGGTGCATGCCCAGGATCCGAACCCAGGCCGCGAGCAGTGGAGCATGCACACTTAACGACTACGCCACAGGGCCAGCCCAAAATCTACAAAACTTCTATTGCAGGTTGAGAATATTATTAATGAACATGCTAACATATTTAAAATTACTTATCAGATGAGATATTCCTGTTAACTATTTGAATATGGATTATTCTTTTTATGGCCTATGATTCTCTCAATAACAACCCAGTTTTTTTTTATTGCCATTTCATATCCAAGCTTCCTCCACTATGCAGTCATCACTGTAAGCTCAGACATGAAAGCTGCTTTTAATATTAGCCAACTTTAAATGTAATTAGAAAGGCAAATATATTTTAACAATGTTTTAAAAAGCCAAGTAAAATTCATTTTCAACTAACTGCCTCACCCGCTATCCATTCTCCCACCCTTTACTAGAGCTGTTAATATCAGAAACTAAAAATAGACTGAGCTTATTATCTTAAGGAAAAAGTTTCTGTCAAAAGATTTCGAGAAATTTCCTTCAGGCTTTTTAAAAAGACACTGTTCAACTCTCACAGGTTTGGTTTTTTTGGTGAGGAAGATTGGCCCTTAGCTAACATCTGTGCCAATCTTCCTCTATTTTGCATGTGGGTTGCTGCCACAGCATGGCTTGATGAGTGGTATAGGTCTGCGCCCAGGATCCAAACCTGCAAACCTGGGTTGCTGAAGTGAAGCACACGGAACTTAACCACTACACCACGGGGCCAGCCCCCAATTCTTCAGTTTTGAAATAAATAAGTATCAACATTATTTCCATACTAATAATCAAAATCCTTCATACTAGAATTTGTAATTTAAAACCACTGAAGAAAATTTTAAATGTGCATTTAAGGGTCAGTTCTAAAACATGTCCTTTTGGCCTAAACACAAAATGACAAACTTATGGCTTTCTTGATGTGTGTTTGTTCGTTGTTGGTTTGTTTGTTTTTACCTGGGTAGGACTGATAGGAGGTGGTGGAGCTTTGCGTTTTTTTGGAGTTCCACTTCTTTCTGAGCTTATTTTAGAGACGTGATCAGGCTGAAAGTTATCACAGTCCAAAGAATGGAGGTGGGTTAGTTAGGTTAGTAAAGTCGGAGCAAATAGCTTCATCAAACAATGAGAAAAACCTCAACAGTTCATGCATTTCTTACTTTATCAAGATCTGAAATCTGTTACCAACGTAAAAATAAGGAATATGCATGCTCCAAGTTTTCTTGCAGCAGCCCATGCTTTAATAGCAAGAAAATAAAAAACACAAGACAAAACCAGATTAAGCTGGTGCGGAGAACTGGGAAAGTAGAGATGAGGCGTCGTCTACCACAATTTAGAACCCAGAATACATTCATAGTCTAGCTTTCATCTCAATGCAAAGCAGTGGTCCTTTTCCCCATCTTGGGATGACTTGCATTCCTTTTCTTAAAGAACGTAAGTATGGGGGTAAGGGGGTAGCTCATCTCTGAAGGTTATGGACAAATAAGTAACACAGTTAGTACATAATAAATTCAGTATTGAGTATTTGCTGTTTATAATTTTTTCAAGAACTTTGATGTATAAATAAACAAATAAAACAGCCAAACATACATCTTGTTAATAAAGTAAAAAATAGTGACTCTATTTTTAGAAAAAACTCCAAAATAACAGGGCAAACCTCTCAATTTCTATCTGTGTAACATCAATGACATTTTAGAAGAGCCCCATTAAAATAAAAAGAAAAGCTAAATCTCTTATTTTCATTAAATATGTAATATTGCCATGGATGTAGGACAATAATCCATGTGACATTATAAGTATTTAAAATATTGTTATTCATTCTCAGAGTTTAAACCACAAACATTTTCACAGCAATAGGAAATATTAGTACATTTCAGAAAAAGATGAATATATAAGTAGCAAGTTTAAAGTTACATGCTTTGGAAATGGGGTAAAATATAAGAAAACATTTACCACCTTATAACAGTGAATCATTTATTTGAAAGATATTTCACTCCAGTATTTTCAACATAGTCTTTATCACTTTTCTAGTGGACCACAGAATGGTTTAATCAGAACATTTTCAAATTCCCACAAGCCAAGATGAAAAAAAATCACCTCCCCCAAAGATAAATACCTGCTTTGGTTTTGTTGGTGTCTTTAAATCTATTGAGGAAAAAGTGAAAAAAGAAAACTATAAGAACCATAATGACTCATATCCACTTTGGGTGGGGGGGGGATACACACACACACACACACACACACACACACACACACCATACACAATATTTAACACTTCATCTTTCTTCAAGAATATGTTTAAAAGAATAATAAAGTATATCATATTGCACAAATCCCTTTATCCTTTGGGGAAAATGGAGTGGATAAACTTAAAACAACACTGGCTATTTTCTTTCACATACCAGCATCCTGAGAGATTTTTGATAATAGAAGGCTTTGAATTCCTGCATTTTCTGAGAGTTTGGAATAATGTAAGGCATTGTGTCCAAGAGAGTCTACAAGGTTTAGGTCTGCACCCTTTTTAATTAAGGCTTCCACGATGTTAGAGCTGCCGATCTCACAAGCCAGCATGAGAGTGGTTCTAGAGAAAAAAGGAGACACCAAATTAGTACTAACAAAATGTGAAAAGTCTTTCCTGGGAAATCATTTCATTTGTCTTAAAAACAGGGAAAAGAAGATTAAGCACTGTTAAACCTGTACTACACTTAATCTCCTAGGGAATTCAAAACAGAATGCTATGAAGGTGAAATTATGTAGGTTTTTTTTCTTTAAACTTCAGATTAAATCAAAACATTAAACCACATTAGGTCAAATAACATAGACATAATCTTCTAAACATAATCTTCTGACTACGATGAAATTTAATATGGTTGGCACAAATCTTGTCCTTTCACCTCAAGCATTTTAAAGTACCTATACATTATTAAGACTATTTTAAAAACACAACCAATATGTTTACTTTAATTTTGCATGAAGTCATAGGAAATGGCCTATTCACTTTAGTATTTAATAATCTCATCACAGATTCAATGATGTTCCCAGAGGTCTAGGGAAAAAAATTTTAAGTCAAAACAGATTCTTGATTATCAAAAAAGGCAGAAAGTAAAAAAGTAAAGACGTTAAAACCACTTTAAAACGAATGATCCAAAATACATCTGTGATTATTTTGAAAGACTCTCAGAATGTGGGTGTCGCTGAAATCACATGATGTCTCATTCTGTGGTACCTTCCATTTTTGTCCCTGGAATTTACATCTGCTCCATGATCCAGCAGAAAGCGACAGACCTCACTGTGGCCATTTTGGACTGCAAGAAGCAGTGGTATATTCCCATCCTAGGAAACAAATTCAGATTAAGATTTTAACTCAGATGGCAAATGCCAGAGTCTCAAAGGTCCTTGTTCTTTCTACATTTATTCCTGAAATCGTCCTGCTGGTCTTATATTTGACTCACCATGATAGTCTGTGCCCCAATAGGGCTGCCATTACATCTTAGCACAGCTCGTCTTATGGAATTTCGCTGACTGCTAGCTTTTCCTCAGAAGCCTCAGCCTCTTGGGCTGCTTGTTCCCTCAGCTGGTGATGGTGTGAGAGAGAGTGGAACACCAAGTAGATAAAGGCTCAAGGCACGTATACCACATTTACTGAGGGATGGTTCTGGAGGAATGAAGGACTTGATTCACATGGCATCAGTAGGTCCCACTGCCCCCTAAGCAGCTTCTTCTGAGTGAACTACCTGTATCCTATCATGCCACTACTGTCTTCTCGGAAAGCACACCCTTTCATAATCTTATTAGGCATCAAAACATAACATAAATTAGAGTTTATTTGTCTATTACTGACACGTGACTAGACAAAGAGATTAATGGAAAGAATGATTTGCTTAATGTGTTACAATATGACAACTGGCAACTCCTGTGGAAAAAAAGAAAATTAGATCCCCATCTCATACGCAAACTATGTAACGTGGATTAAGAATTAAAATGTTACAATATAAACCATATGAAAAAATACTAGAAGAATATATAGGTGACTATTTCCATAATCCTAGGGTGAAGGGGGCCTGGCTCAAATGATATAAACCACAAAGAGAAGCTTTCATTCTGCTCTTTCGTTGAACATACTCCACAAATAGGATTGATGGTAATTTTTAAGGTAGATGTATTCAAAAGGAAAAGGAAAAAAATAAGTTATTATTTTAACATGGAGATTTTTAAAAACACAATTGCTGCTTAAGAATTAAGTCTCCTCTTAGCATAGAATTTCAGACACATTTCTAAAAAATTATCTCTGTGAAGTTGTAACACTTTCTGGTTAAAAAGTACTGACATCCAGGGAGTGTAAATTTATTCACAGGTTCTACATGCTCACTTCACAATATCCCCATCGGGTCTAAGTGCATGCATATCAATTCCCATGTTACAGCGGGAAATTTAATCCTGTAACCAGGGGCAATAGGCATGTAAATTTAATCTCAAAATAGCCCAGCAAAGTTAAAACAGGCTAGAAGTGGTCTTCAAAGCTGGGAAACCCTAACCAGGAGTATCCAAGATGGTACATGGGGTACAGAATGAAAATAATAGAACTTCTATTTAGACTTATTTTTTATTTTTAAAACTCAAGAAATTGGGCTGGCCCCGTGGCATAGCGGTTAAGTGCACGTGCTCCGCTGCTGGCGGCCCAGGTTCTGATC